ATATTCAATTAAAGATTTCTTGCTGTTGTGCAATACTTAGTAAATCTGTTGTCAGACTATAAACAAATAAAGTTCAATTAATTCTCAATGTCATATTAGAAATTTATGAAAACAAGCATTCTGAGAGTATTGCATGGCAATACATAGTCCCCTACCGGGTAAACATTCATAATACTGGAACAAACTGCTAACTTGTTCTATAACTTGTCATGGTGTAAACAAAAAGTAAATATCATGTCAATATCTTCAAGCATGACTAAAGACAGTGTGGAAAACTGATTATATGAGTGAAATTTTCAAGTCCAAGGACCATAACTGCACAAAATCAATATACCGAAACAAAAATTTGAACTTGATCTGTAAACTGTCATGATAAAACTATATACCAATTATCAATCAATATCTTATAAGCATGATGAAAAAAAATTAGATATTATTAATAGTTCTCTAATATTAGATATGATGTCATACAGTGTATATCTATTTTCAAATTATAATCAAATATAATTAAAAGTTCCAAATATTTTTTCTTTCATTTGTCACAAACTAATATAGATTTGACTTATCTATAAAATGTCAACAACTTTTATCTACACAATGTAATGTATTGAAATATATACATTAATAACAATAGATTATTATCTAATTAAAGGATTTCTCTTCATAATTGTTTTTTTTAATATATATATAGCATTCAGAAAATTAGTTTATACTAAATAACAAACAAACCTGCCAAAAAATTCTTCAAATAATTTAACAAAGAATGTCTTTTAAAAAATGAGTTATCTCCCTTTGTACAGAGATATGGTTTAACATAGTACTCTAACATTAGAAATGGTCCAGAGTTATGGTCCATAACTCTGGACTAAATCATCAGACCGGAACAAAATTCGAACTTGATCTATAACTTGTCATGATAAAACTATATATCAAATATCAAATCAATATCTTCAAGAACAGAGAAAAAAAGTGTGGAAAGCTGATTTGCCAGACTGACGGATGGACAGACGGACGGACAGAGTGCAAACCTAAAGTCCCCTTCAACTTCGTCGGTAGGGGACTAATAAAAAGGGAGCTTTCATCAATAGATATAAACAATTCACCAAAGTTTCATGAGAATTGGTGACAGCATTTTTGAGTTTTTGTCTGAAAACTGGAAAATCCCCCCTTTTTTTAATGAATAAAACCCTGTAACTCGGAAACGTAAAATCTTAAATTTATAAAAATCCAAAGGGAGCTCATGTCAATAGATATAAACAATTCACCAAAGTTTTATGCAAATTGGTTAAAGCATTTTTGAGTTAATATCCGACATGTTGACGACGGACAGACGGATGGGCAGACGGACAACGGTATACCATAATACGTCCCGTAAACAGGTGTATAAAAAATCTAAATGCACAATAAGATTCAGCATATCATACAGCTGCAATAATTCAGTTTTAGATGAAATAAAACAAAGTTTAATTTTGGACCCTTTTGACCTCAATGTAGACTAATTTAAAAATGGGGCCCAATATCCAAATGAAATGCTCCGCTGGGTGCAGTTTGATACGACCGCAGAGGTCGAACCCTGAACAGTTGGGGCAAGTATGGACACAACATTCAAGCTTGATACAGCACTGAATTTGGATTGTGATTAAATATTTGACACAGCATAGGTTTCTGACACAGAATGAATGTGGTCTAAGAACTTAAATAATTTTAATTTACCTATTCAAACCATATCATTACTATTTGCTTTTATATATAAATCAGAAATAACCAATTTAAAATGGAAAATTTTAAAGAAAAAAAAATCCCTCCCCCAAATTTTTTGAACCCCCTTATGATTCATCACCCCCCAAACTCAATACCAGCCTTCCCTTTGTGGTATGGTACCTTGCAGTACAATTTCAGGGAGATCCATACACTTGAACACAAGTTATTGTCTGGAAACTAGAAAAATTCTTATTTTTGGCCCCTTATTCCTAAACAGTTTGGGCAATTATCCCCAAACTCAATTCCAGCTTTCCCTTTGTGATATGGAACCTTGTAATACAATTTCAGAAAGATCCATACACTTACACACAAGTTATTGTCATGAAACTACAAAAATGCTTGTTTTTTGCCCCTTTTTTTGCCCCTAATTCCTAAAATTTTGAGGCAATTACCCCCAAAATCAATCCCAGCATTCCCCTTGTGATATGGAACCTTGTGGTACAATGTCAGAGAGATCCACACACTGACACACAAGTTATTGTCTGGAAGTTACAAAAATGCTTATTTTTGGCCCCTTATTCCTTAACTGTTGGTAACATAACCCCCAAAATCAATCCCAACCTTCCTTATGTGGTATTGAACCTTATGGTAAAATTTCCTAGAGATCCATTAACTTAAACTAAAGTTAGAGTGCGAAAACCAATGTGTCTTCTGACAACGACGACGACGCCAATGTTATAGCAATATACGAATTTTGCGGTCGTATAAAAATGCTTGTTTTTGGCCCCTAATTCCTTAACTGTTGGTACCATAACCCCCAAAATCAATCCCAACCTTCCTTTTGTGGTATTGAACCGTCTGGTAAAATTTCCTAGAGATCCATTCACTTAAAACAAAAATTATTGTCTGGAAACCAAATTTGTCTTCTGACGACACCGACATCGACGACACCAAACCATTATACGACGCAAAAAATTTGAAACAAGGTTTTGGAGGTCAGACTGTGTTGCTCAAGAATCTTTCGAAAATTTTGGGATGCTATGAATAACAAATAAAATGCTCCGCTGGGCGCAGCTTGATACGACCGCAGAGGTCGAACCCTGAACAGTTGGGCAAGTATGGACACAACATACAAGCTTGATACAGCTCTGAATTTGGATTGTGATTAAATATTTGACACAGCATAGGTTTCTGACACAGAATGAATGTGGTCTAAGAACTTAAACATTTTTAATTTACCTATTATGGTCCAATATCCAAAATCTAAATACATACACGGTTAGATTCAGCATATCAAAGAACCCCAAGAATTCAATTTTTGTTAAAATCAAACTAAGTTTAATTTTAGACCCTTTGGACCTTAATGTAGACCAATTTGAAAACGGGACCAAAAATTAAGAATCTAAATACACGGTTAAATTCAGCATATCAAAGAACCCCAATATTTTAATTTTTGATGAAATCAAACCATATCATTATTATTTGCTTTTATATATAAATCAAAAATAACCAACTTAAAATAGAAAATTTTAAAGGAAAAAAAAAATCCCCCCCCCTATTTTTTGGACCCCCTTATGATTCATCATCCCCAAACTCAATACCATCCTTTCCTTTGTGGTATGGTACCTTATAGTACAATTTCACAGAAATCCATACACTTGAATACAAGTTACATGTATTGTCTGGAAACAAGAAAAATGCTTATTTTTAGCCCCTTTTTGGCCCCTTATTCCTAAATGTTTTGGGCAATTACCCCCAAACTCAATTCCAGCTTTCCCTTTGTGATATGGAACCTTGTAGTACAATTTCAGAAAGATCCATATACTTACACACAAGTTATTGTCATGAAACTAGAAAAATGCTTGTTTTTTGGCCCCCTAATTCCTAAAATTTTTAGGCAATTACCCCCAAAATCAATCCCAGCATTCCCTTGATGATATGGAACCTTGTGGTACAATGTCAGAGAGATCCACACACTGACACACAAGTTATTGTCTGGAAGTTACAAAAATGCTTATTTTTGTCCCCTAATTCCTTAACTGTTGGTACCATAACCCCCAAAATCAATCCCAACCTTCCTTTTGTGGTATTGAACCTTATGGTAAAATTTCATAGAGATCCATTCACTTAAACTAAAGTTATTATGGGAAAACCAATGTGTCTTCGGACGACGACGATGCCAACGTCATACCAATATATGACCGCAAAATTTGTTTGCGGTCTTATAAAAAGCTAATGTCATTCAAATATGGACATCACAATCTAGCCAATAATTACATAATAATCAATTATGTAATAATGAAATTATCCCGCATTTTAAAGATTAATCTTTCTTCTTTCTTTTGGTTCCTCATTTATAAATTTCAGAGCTGGATGAAAGAAATTACATCAGTTTAAAGTTGTCTGATTGGGGGTGAAAAAAACTTTGTATTGTTCTACCTTAATATTAATTTAAGTTGCTTAAATATGTAAAACTTATATATCTTTTAAATAATTCAATTCAACTCAAATCTTTATTGTCATTACACTACGTATACATTTCATAGCATGTGATACAACACTACAAAATGAAAACAAACAATATCAACAAGATCATTCATATACATAATGAAAGTAAATATTTCAAGAGTGCCCGGTCCACAGTTTTATAAACTGTTTTCAAAAGGAAACTTAGCCTAGGTGTCCCAAAATTTGTATTGAGAATCATAATATCATGTATTGGTGCTAGCCATAGCTCTTTGCTAGTTTCTGTCTAATATATTCACATTTATTACAGAATTGTGACAACTTAGAGCTTGACATATTGTATAAACATGTCTTCTTTTAAAAGACTAAACTCTAGATGCAGTCTGTGCCAAACTCTTTTGGTTTCTGTTTGACCGAGAAAAAAAAATCAATTAATTAAGCTTATTGTGTTGTTTGAGTTTTTAAATGGACTGCTTTGTTTTATGATGATATTCATGGTAAAAATTGCATTTCAGGAAAGCAGTTGATAAATTTTATCGGGGATAGCCCCTTGAACATACTTCAAAGAAAACATTTAACCCGAAAGTTTTCATTTCTATCGATCTGTGCACACGCATATCAAAATACAATTATAAGTCACAGCACAGATGGTGAAAACCAGGACATACGATTTGGCAGACTTGCATCTTTTTAATCGATCAGGTCCGTAGGTCTGACAGTGTTTGCCACAGACTGTAGATGTCTTTTGAATAGTTTTGTTGTTATGTTTCTGCCTCATTGACACATCTTCTTTAAATTCATTTTTTAAAGTTGCCTATTCTAACATTACTTACATCTTTGACAACTTTGATGCTGCTCCTCCTGTTACTTTAGCAACTCTAAGTGTAGCAAGCTCCTATAATGTAGAGAAATTTAAAAATTAGTTTGGATCATTAAATTCCGGATTTTAATCTAGAATCTTTCTACTCATTCTAAATATATTTGTCTTAAGGCAGGGTTTTGCACAGGATACTGGGAAAGAAAACCTCAAGAGATTCATACAAATGGACAACCAAGTGCATCATTCTGTTTCCAAAACCTGTCGAATAGGCTGTAAACATATTTCTCCTGCCAACTTACCACATCCTGGTGGAAATCAACATCATAGAGTCCCAAAAAGACAATATCTATTATAATTTCATTCAATCATTGTTGTATGTAAATTTCTGTCAAAGACAATAATTTCTAATTCAAATTCACTTTAAGGTGCTTGTTGATTAAAGTTAGTAATTGTTTGACTGAAGTGTCACTATTTAATTACAGTATACCAAGGAATAAGTTGTTTCGGTCCTACTTACTTTTTTTTTAATTCTTCAAATATATATACAGAATAAACTGCTTCGCTGAGCGCAGCTGGATACGCCCGCAGAGGTCCAACTCTGAACAGTTGGTGCAAAAATGGACACAATATTCAAGCTTGATACAGGTCTGAATTTGGATTGTAATTAAATATTTGACATATTACAGGTTTCTGAATAAATGTAGTCAAAGAACTTGAAATTGGTTATATAAATTGAATTTATATTCAATTAAAGATTTCTTGCTGTTGTGCAATACACTGTGCTGTTGCGCAATACTTAGTAAATCTGTTGTCAGACTATAAACAAATAAAGTTCAATTTCTTCTCAGTCATATTTGAAATTTATTAAAATCAATAGGGAGATTACATCAATAGCTATAAATAATTCACCAAAGTTTCATGAGAACTGCTGAAAGAATTTTTGTGTTATTGTCCAAAAACTGGAAAATCCCTCCTTTTTTAATGAATAAAACCCCATAACTCAGAAATGTAAAATGTAAAATTTATAAAATTTTAAAGGGAGCTTACATCAATAGATATAAACAATTCACCAAAATTTCTTGCAAGTTGGTGAAAGCATTCTTCAGTTATTGTCAGAAAACTGGAAAATCCCCCCTTTTTTAATGAATAAAACCCCAAAACTCGGAAACGGTAAATCTGAAATTTATAAAAAATAAAAGGCAGCTCACGTCAATAGATATTAACAATTCAACAAAGTTTCATGCATATTGGTTAAAGCTTTTTTTAGTTAATGTCCGACATGTTGACGACGGACGGACGGACAGACGGTCAACGGTTTACCATAATACGTCCCGTAAACGGACGTATAAAAAACACATTGTAAACTTGGGTGGATAGTTGTCTCATTGGCAATCATCCCACATTTCCTTAATTTTATATTACATGGCAAATGATTTCAAAAGAGATCTATATACATAAATAAAATTGAATTCACTGGCCTTAATGCCCATAGAAGATTAGCCCCTTCTGATATGATCCACATGTACATTCCCTAGTATTTATACAACCTCAACTCCTCAAGTGGACAACGGATTGACATGTAATAATTTAACTAAATGATTAATACTCTTGCCCGCAAGAATTCTTCACCTCAAAATTAGAAATCATTGATCTCTGACATATGTTCTGCAGTTGCGTAAGATTGTTAGAACCCTGTGATCAGTTTCACAAAAAATCTTACAACATAAGTTGATTGTAAGTCATGAACAATTCAGTATACTCTTAATCAACTTTAGTCGTAAGATTTTTTTTGAAACTGATCACTGGGCTGAAACCTAGAATGGTGGAAGACTAACCTCTGGTTGAATATCAGCCTAGAAAGGTTCAGTTTTACACACTAAATAATTTTTCTCTTTTTTCATTATTTAGTTACTAAATCACCTTACAACAGAGTAAAAAAGAAAACAAAATTCAAATTAATAAAAGGTAGTAACAAAAATATGGACCTCCATAAAGATAGAGAATGGTAGAAATGTGATGTGTAGCTACAGAAACTATATTGACAGGTATCTCTGCTGTGTCACTGTGCTTACCATACTATGGTGCTATAAAAAAATCCTGGGGAGAACAGAGTATTGTTAAATACTGTCAAATTAACTGCATGTCTGTTAAACTAGGGTTGAGAATATTTAATTTCAGCAATAGCTAACCCTTCATGTCTGTTACTGTTCTCACTCTAGCTAGTTTAAGTACCTTTGCCAAAGAGTGGGCAATTAAAAGAAAACACATCCTGGAATATACAAGCACTGCTAATCACAACCCATCCCGTCTTTAGAGCAACTATCAAGGATACTTTCTAAGTTTAAGTAAATTACCATGCCTGAAATACCTTGCAGTTACATCGTCTTTTTTAAACTTACATTTTTCAATTCATCAAGCTGCTTTACAAGCTCATCTTTCTTTTTACCCCTCAATTCCTTGGCTTTGACTTTGGCCTACAAGTTTTAAATAAATGTCTTTAAGAAATTAATGAATATTTTACTTATTTAAGCCATACATGAATGAATGCAAATTTCATGGTTTAAGTTCATTGAATCTTGAATTGAATCCATAAAAAGTCTTAAAGCTAGATCATTAATTAGATCACAATCACTGTATCACTATTTTTTCTACCATTTAAAACTTACAAAAACCTGCATTCAATCCATATATTAACAGTACATACATGTATACATAGAGCATCTGATAAAAATTGTATATTTACTGAAAACAATAAATATTTGTGTTGGTTGACAATTTTTTTGGTTGTTTACCATGTACAACGTATTAATTTATGAATACTGTAAATTCAGAAATGTTTGTGAAATTTATATTTATGGGAATATAGCACGACTGGGTGCGTATCCCAAATTATTAACAACTTACTTTTCCTGAATTAATAGTTAACCTCAAATTTTGGTTGGTCATGTCAAATTTGCAATAATAAATTAATGCTCTCAATAATTTCTGAATTTCAAGTATATAACCAGGAAATAATACATGCAAATGTTCACACAGATCAAAATTTTGTTGCTGGAATATTCATTACATGCTTGTCTTCACAATCTTGGAACTTTTATTTTTTTATATCATCTATGAATTTAAACAGTATTGTATTTTTACTTTGACTCTTTCTTTTCTCGTTTCACATAGTTATCTCCGCTAAGACAGTTTTATCTGTTTTCTCGGACAAAATTTTGTGGCATAAATACAGAAAAATAGTGATGAACCTTATGGGGGATTTTCCTAATAACAGGTGCTGATCAGACTTTTGAAACACTGCATCATATAAACTGAATACTGCAAATTATAACAGAATAAAAGCCTCAAATAAGCCAATATTAAATATACTGATTAAAATCCATAGTATATTGGTTTTACTCATTTACTATTAGCACAACTCCTGCTTCAATACCCACGTAGATATTAACTGATTTTGAGAGGTTGTCAAGCATGTTGATACTAAAATAATGCAAGGACAAGACCAGTTTCGTTTAAAAGGTCCCAAGAGCTTATGTTTTTTATTGTTATATGTAACCGAATCCATATAAAACATTTGCATTCGTATTTAATGTAAGAACGTAAAGTGTAAGAAAGGAAGAACGTGAGTCTTTTGACATTGGGATATGAGAAATATAAGTCAAATTATGTAGAATAGATTATATTTTGTCCTCACGACATTTATTTAACATGTTTTTTAATATCAGTGTGAAAGATGCCGTCGGATTATTTTACATTAAAATTTCTACCATGTTAGCAGAGAGTGCGATTGAAAAAGGCGGAAGTAGAATAGAAAGCTGGTAATCTTTTCAAATATAGATTCGTCCCAAGTATAGTATTTCGGACCTATAATTCAATCCGATTCTTTTTATACGTTAGACACTCTCAACAAAGATATCTCATAGAACAACATTAAATTTCTACAAAATAGGAGTTGAAAAATTATAAAAAGCGACACAGTGAATTTTCGACAGCGATTATCTACTCGCGATTTCAAGGGGGGCGAATTGTCCTTTTCTCTACCGGAAATATTGACGGTAAATTTCCGGGGTGTGAGTTTACTTCCTTGTGGTTCACAGAGACTAAAAGATGTCCAAGGCAGGCAATTCTAGAGCTTTTCGCAAAGTTGACGTAGACCAGTTTGACGAAGACAAGTACGAAGAACAAGATGATGAGAACGAGCAGGTTTCTGGCCCGAATGAGTCCGACGTAAACGCTCTTTTGGCACAATATCCTTTTTAATATTAAGAAGATGAACAAACAACTTGTTCATTTTACATAAGGACGAAAAGAACGGAAGTTCGTGCACCCTTCGTTTTAGTAGTTTAGATATGCAAATTGTTATAAATCTTTAACCAAAAAAATTGGTTGACTTTAGTTTAGCTTGTACTTTTTAGAATATTTTTAAAATTTATATTTTATTTGGCAAAACCTTTCTGAATTTTGTGTTTTCAATGCTCGTCAACTTCGTACTGTATTTGGCCTTTTTAACTTTTTTGATTCGAGCTTCACTAATATTTTTTTTTTACATGACACATGCATGTGATGGACAAAATTGTAATCCTGGTATCTATTATGAGTTTATCTCAATTAATTTTGTGACTAGTAAATATATAAATTATAAGTCTGTCTTAGATTTATATAAGCTGCATAAAAAACATTCAAATGTAGTCATCAATAAAACATTGTCAAAGTATGTCCGTCCATTAAACATGATGAACAGACAAACAAAATTACTGAACTTGAGGGTATCTATTAAGGAATTGATTAGTCTGGTTGTTTTATGTTTAATAAAAAAATTACAAGAGAGACAATCCAGTATCAACAGCAACACATACAGAATACAGAATATATTTCTTCCTTTGGAACATTGCAAGATGTTTCAACCACACTACCACTTCGGCCATAATCATTTTGTTCACACTCAGTAAAGGCGTTTTGGCAATGGATTTTTGGTATTCTATATAAATATTGTAATTTCAATAAATGAAATACATTATATTTGTGTCTACAAACAGACATGAACAAAAGAAAAATACATAGTTCATAAATCATGCAATTATATTCACGTTAAAGAATCAATCAAAAATAGGATAACATAATATTGATAATAAATCAAGGAAATCTTAGTATACCTCCAACTTACTTTTAAAAATATCAAAACAATACCTCAACAATAACATTACCAGAGTCACAAAATTAATATAGATAAACTCATAATAGATACCAGGATTACAATTTTGTCCATCACATGCATGTTTCATGTAAAAAAAAATATTAGTGAAGCTCGAATCAAAATAGTTAAAAAGGCCAAATACAGTACGAAGTTGAGCATTGACAACACAAAATTCAGAAAGGTTTTGCCAAATAAAGCTTTAGGTATTCTATTCCTGGGGTAGAAAATCCTTAGTAATTTGAAAATCAATGATAATTCGTGTCAACACTGAAGTGCTGACTACTGTGCTGGTGATACCTATGGGGAGTAATCCTCCACCAGCAGTTGCATTGACCCAGTGGTTGTAAATAAACTCATCATCATGATCATAGAGCTTGAATTTTCATTAAAACATATGTTATGAACTCTTTATACAATGCTGGTCAGTAATTTTGTTTGTCCTGGATGTCCGTTCATTGAACATGATGAACAGACAAACAAAATTATTGAACTAGAGGGTATCTATTAAGGAATTGATTAGTCTGGTGTTTTATGTTTAATAAAAAAATAATGATAACTTTTGTCTTAAATAATATTTTATTTCAAAGCAACAGTTTGTCAATACAATTAATGTAAATATTAACATTGTGAACATTATGAAATATCTACATGCTTCTTATCCCTTCAACTAAACTTGTGTAAAAATTGACATTGAACACATGTTGAAGCCATTAAACCAAGCAGTATATCCTAGGGGAGAATAGGATTTTGATGAAAATGGTGAATCTCTTGTAGGAAAATATTTTTAAAAATCAGAATATTTATACAGAGAACATATAAGGGTGAGAAATAATGAACGAGTCTGTCTTACATTTATATAAGCTGCAAAAAAAACATTCAAATGTAGTTAGTAACGTTCTTAAAATCTGAATAAACACAACAATCTACTTTATACATTGAGTCATGAATTTCTAGCAAAAAAAAGGCAGAAGGTACCAACTAACACTGGCATACAAAATGATCTCATCATATTAGATTTAACCAAGACATTTGACAAGGTTCCTAACAGCTTGCAAGTTATTAGCATATACATGTGACAGACTGGTCTGTAATGACTGACTACGTTTTCTGGCCCTTTTGAATATTTGTGTAACATTTGCATCTCACCAGTCTAAAGAAAAGAATAGATGATTGATAATTATATATTGCATAAGGAGGAACTATCTGGAAATAGTTGTCATTGTTGATTGATAGTAGAATGCAAGCAGCAACAGGTTGTTCTTGATGAGGCGATATTTGGTTATTTATAACTAACTTACATGTACCTGTAGTAGTAACATCAAAAACCCACTTTTTTACAGATGACTAAATTTGAGTACATGTATATATAATAGACCAATAATTAAATGGCAAGATTTTGTGATCTCTAGCTGTAAGCTGCTATATAGCTACACCATACATGTCAAAGAATTTGATAAAAGGATTGGTTGAATGTTGTTTCATAAGTCTATCAAATATCCTGATTTTAGCAAGAGCCCGCTGAGGTTTTTCAAAATTTACAGATTCTCCTGATCCATGTTTGTCTTTGAGCAGGAGTTAGAATCCACTACTATTCAGAAATTGTAACATGTCACTGTGCATTTGGAATGCATCATAGTGTACTGTTTACCAAATCATAAACTTTGTGAGGGGTTGTTCAATTGTTATTTTTTCTCTGTTATAGAAATATATTTTTACAAACATGGTTTACTTTTATAAATTGTTACTTGGATGGAGAGTTGTCTCATTGGCACTCATACCACATCTTCCTATATCTATGTGTAGTGTTCACTCACTGAAATTTGGTAGTCTCTTCTCATATGTATGCTGAACTGATAATTTTAATTGATATTCTCAACATCTGTTGGTTTTAAACTATTATCTGCCTTAACTGTAGAACAGGAAAGAACAGTGATGCCTTAAAAAGTGCTCTGAAAAATGCACCAGTTGGAAGTAAAGATCAAAAGTTAAAAGTAAGTATTTTGAATTAAAGTTAATAAGATAAAAAGAAACATTCCATTAAAGTTGCCCTGCTTTAATGTATGCACACTTTCACTGTATAATGGTTAAAATTTTCAATGGGATATCTGTTTTGTTTACATGTTAAATTTGCAGATAGGGTAATCTAAAACTTATCTTTTTATCTGTTAATATTGAAGGCCATTTACACTTTCATGTATATGTATACTATGTCTTTTTTTAATTCATGTCCTAAATGTGCATGTAATATATGCCACTGGAAAAAATCGAACAACAATCAATTGTCTTTGTCAAAGCATGAATATTTATATTTTAATATCTTAAAAAAAAGAACTTTTAAAGTTAAACTCTTGGGAATGGTAAGCACGACAGCATGTGCAACTTCTTGTTATATTTACATTTAAACTTTTTCAGAGTAAAGCTGTGCAATTAGTGACAAGAGTCCTGACATCATTTAAGTCAAATGAAATTGACCAGTGTGTGAAATCTTTAGATTCAGTGACATTAGACTTACTTATGAAATATATATATAAAGGATTTGAAAACCCATCAGAAGGAAGCAGTGGTGCACTTTTAACTTGGCATGAAAAGGTTTGTTATAGAAATATAAAAAAGGAGATGTTGTATCATCATGGTATGATTGCTTTTGAGACAAAAGGAACAAAGGACAAGGATTTGAACAATCACAGGTCACCATACAGCCATCAACAATTAGAAAATTGAAGGCTGTACTTTGACCTATAATTGTTTACTTTTTATACATTGTGACTTGGATGGAGAGTTGTCTCATTGGCACTCATACCACATCTTCTTATTTATATAAAATAAACATTTAAAGTATAAACTGTCAATTATTAAAACTGAAATGAACAATATTTAAGAAACAATGCATATTTGATGCTGTGAAAATTTTTACATGTCTGAAGTGAAATTTTCAAAATAAAAATGGCAATGGAGGAAAATCCCTGTTTTTTATATATTTGGTTATAAAAGTATGATTTTTGTCGAGCCTGCGACTTTTGTCGCAGAAAGCTCGACATAGGGATAGTGATCCGGCGGCGGCGGCGGCGTTAGCTAACTTCTTAAAAGCTTTATATTTTAGAAGGTGGAAGGTCTGGATGCTTCATACTTTGTATATGGATGCCTCATGTTACGAAGTTTCCGTCAGTCACATGTCCAATGTCCTTGACCTCATTTTCATGGTTCAGTGACTACTTGAAAAAAAAGTTCAGATTTTTTGTAATGTTATATTCTCTCTTATTATAAGTAATAGGATAACTATATTTGGTATGTGCGTACCTTGCAAGGTCCTCATGCCCGTCAGACAGTTTTCACTTGACCTCGACCTCATTTTATGGATCAGTGAACAAGGTTAAGTTTTGGTGGTCAAGTCCATATCTCAGATACTATAAGCAATAGGTCTTGTATATTCGGTGTATGGAAGGACTGTAAGGTGTACATGTCCAACTGGCAGGTGTCATCTGACCTTGACCTCATTTTCATGGTTCAGTAGTTATAGTTAAGTTTTTGTGTTTTGGTCTGTTTTTCTTATACTGTATGCCATAGGTCTACTTTATTTGGTGTATGGAATGATTGTAAGGTGTACATGTCTAGCGGGCAGGTGTCATCTGACCTTGACCTCATTTTCATGGTTCAGTGGTCAAAGTTAAGTTTTTGAGTTTTGGTCTTTTTTTCTAATACTATATGCAATAGTTCAACTATATTTGGTATGTGCGTACCTTGCAAGGTCCTCATGCCCGTCAGACAGTTTTCACTTGACCTCGACCTCATTTTATGGATCAGTGAACAAGGTTAAGTTTTGGTAGTCAAGTCCATATCTCAGATACTATAAGCAATAGGTCTTGTATATTCGGTGTATGGAAGGACTGTAAGGTGTACATGTCCAACTGGCAGGTGTCATCTGACCTTGACCTCATTTTCATGGTTCAGTGGTTATAGTTAAGTTTTTGTGTTTTGGTCTGTTTTTCTTATACTGTATGCCATAGGTCTACTATATTTGGTGTATGGAATGATTGTAAGGTGTACATGTCTAGCGGGCAGGTGTCATCTGACCATGACCTCATTTTCATGGTTCAGTGGTCAAAGTTAAGTTTTTTGAGTTTTGGTCTTTTTTTCTAATACTATATGCAATAGTTCAACTATATTTGGTGTATGGAAATATTTTATGATCTATTTGGCAGTCACGCAGGTTTTATTTGACCTTGACCTCATTTTCAAGGTTCATTGCTCAGTGTTAAGTTTTTGTGTTTTGGTCTGTTTTTCTTAAACTATAAGCAATAGGTCAACTATATTTGTTGTATGGAAGAATTGTTAGCTGTACATGCCTGCCTAGCATGGTTCATCTGACCTTGACCTCATTTTCATGGTTCATTGGTCAATGTTTAGTTTACTTGGTTAATGTTAAGTTTATGTGACAGTTGTAATAAAGCTTTATATTTAGGACTATCAACATAATATCAATGATTAGTAAAGAAGGCGAGACATTTCAGCGTGTGCACTCTTGTTATATTTGAAAGTAATATAACTACATTTGTACTTGAAAATAAGTGCATTCAATTTCAAAGAATCAGACCTACAGTATGAAACTTATAAAGGAAAACACACCGCAAATCTCTGAATGTTGCTTGCTGTACTGAGCTTGGAAGACAGCCTTTAAAATACAAATTTTCATGCATTAAATTTTTTAATCACATCAATTCTTCAGACAATTCATTAGTACATAATATTTAATTGGTCACAGAGTAGAGTAATAATTTTTTTAGTTAGACTAGATCTGTAAAATTGACTTACTTAGAAAAATTTGGATTTCCTTTTTAGTTAATTCAAACTCGATAAAAAAAATTTGAATCAAAACAACAAATAGTTTACCAAATTATTAAAGGAATCCTTGCACTTGTGTCACTTCTTGAAAATCATTGTTTAACAAAAACTTTAAATGAGCTTTGGAAGAGCACCATGTGTATATATACATATATGTAAATTAACAAAGATAACATAACCAGAATTTGTAATTTAAGAATAAGTGCATCTAATCTTGCTATAGAGAAAGGAATAAACCTCAAAATGAGAGAACATTTGTTATATATGTAAATGCAATGTAATTGAGGAAGAAAAACATGTTTTACTAAATTGTGCTACTTGCAAAAATAAAGTATTTCCCCAACAAAATTTAGTATATATTCCTCATTCATTAAAACCTGTCCAAATGTAAGAAAGAAGTCAATATGAAGGTTGTAAGAATTTATAGTTTCCAATAGAAAATAGATGAAATTAAAAAAAAAATCAATTATTGTTCAAATATTATATTACAATGTTATGTTCTTATATGTGATAGACCTTAACCATTTATTGTTAATGTGTTTGTGCTATTCATCAGTTTACCGGCCAATTTTCATTTAATTTAAATACAGTATGTTTGGATCAGTGAATTTTGTAACCATTTATTCATTTATTGTACATATATTACACTTGAAAAAATTCAGTGCATAATGATTTATATATTTTCCCTTTTTTCAGGCTTTTGCTTTAGGTGGTTTAGGAACAGTTATGAGAGTTTTAACAGACAGGAAGTGTGTATGAAAACATGACAAAGTACATTCTTAATTTTTTTTATATGAGCACAGATACTCTTATATATTTTATATATATGAACAATTTTAACATATATACAATTACTTATGTAATGACTGATATTTGCAACCAAAAAGAAATCAAGCTGTTCGAGTGCCAACTGTAACATTCAGTGTCGCTAACAATGTGTACATATGTCCTGTATGTACATGTCAGGTTTTCTGTAGACTACTCATTTACTTCATTATTAAAAATATATCCATTACAAGTGAAATGAACTGCTGAGATATTTTTCATTTACTGTAATAATGTACAAATTCTTTGGAAACTCATATTTTTCTTATATTAACATGATATGCAGGCATAAAATGATCTTACTAAGTAATTAAAATATTGAATCTACATCACTAGTTTTGCGTGTGTTATGCAAAAGCTATCTAAGATAGCCAGAAACTGTTTATAGCAAAATGATCAACAGGAAGAAGAATAAGTGAACATGGCCAAAGTAGTCAGCTAACTCCTTATTGGAGTAATCTACAAATAAAAAAACATGACTTCTTTAAGGAATAATGGCCCTTGAATAAAGGTTTTAACCCATTTTTGAGTTTTTTTGCAAAATGATAGTAGATAAGAGAGAAACTGTAAATAACCAAAGTAATCAGCAAATTTATATCTACAAATAAATTAACATAACTGAAATTATTAGTTGACTCCTAATAAGAGTTATTGTCCCTGGATAAAGCTATCAGAAATATTCTAATATGTCAATCAGCAAATACCTGTGTTAATGTGAGCTTACTTATTTTTTTCAAGAGAGACCAAAAAGACACCCTTGTTATGGAGCAACATTTACAGTTAGTGCATAGACTTTTTACGCCCATTCCTAACATTGTTTTGCCAGCCCCCTTTTTTAGCTCACCTGGCCCAAAAGGGGCAAGTGAGCTTTTCTCATCACTTGGCACCGTCATCCGTTAACTTTTACAAAAATTTTCTCCTCTGAAACTACTGGGCCAAATAAAACCAAACTTGGCCTAAATCATCCTTAGGGTATCTAGTTTAAAAAATATATCTGATAAAAATAGAACATAGGGGGGGGGGATAAAATGCAGTTTGGCTTATATATCTAAAACTAAAGCATTTAGAGCAAATCTGAAGTTAAAATGTTCATCAGGTCAAGATCTATCTGCCCTGAAATTTTCAGATGCATGGGTTGCTGCCCTTGAATTGGTAATTTTAAGGAAATTTTGCAGTTTTTATACGACCGCAAAAATTTTTGCGGTCGTATATTGGTATGACGTTGGCGTCGTCGTCCGAAGACACATTGGTTTTCGCACTCTAACTTTAGTTTAAGTGAATGGATCTCTATGAAATTTTACCATAAGGTTCAATACCACAATAGGAAGGTTGGGATTGATTTTGGGGGTTATGGTACCAACAGTTAAGGAATTAGGGGCCAAAAATAAGAATTTTTGTAACTTCCAGACATAACTTGTGTGTTAGTGTATGGATCTCTCTGACATTGTACCACAAGGTTGCATATCACAACGGGAATGCTGGGATTGATTTTGGGGGTAATTGTCTCAAAATATTAGGAATTAGGGGCCAAAAAAGGGGAAAAAAACAAGCATTTTTCTAGTTTCATGACAATAACTTGTGTGAAAGTGTATGGATCTTTCTGAAATTGTACTACAAGGTTCCATATCACAAAGGGAAAGCTGGAATTGAGTTTGGGGGTAATTGCCCGAAACGTTTAGGGATAAGGGGCCAAAATGGGGCCAAAAATAACCATTTTTCTAGTTTCCAGACAATAACTTGTGTGAAAGTGTATGGATCTCTCTGAAATTGTACCACAAGGTTCCATATCACACAGGGAATGCTGGGATTGATTTTCGGGGTAATTGCCTTAAAATTTTAGGAATAAGGGGCAAAAAAAGAGGCAAAAAAAAAGCATTTTTCTAGTTTAATGACAATAACTTGTGTGTAAGTGTTTGGATATTTCTGAAATTGTACTACAAGGTTCCATATCACAAAGGGAAAGCTGGAATTGAGTTTGGGGGTAATTGCCCGAAACGTTTAGGAATTGGGGGCCAAAAAGGGGCCAAAAACACATTTTTTCTAGTTTCCAGACAATAACTTGTGTTCAAGTGTATAAATCTCTCTGAAATTGTACTGCAAGGTACCATACCACAAAGGGAAGGCTGGGATTGAGTTTGGGGATGATGAATCATAAGGGGGTTCAAAAAATTTGGGGGGGGAATTTTTTTTTTTTCCTTTTTTTTTTCTTTTAAAATTTTCCATTTTAAGTTGGTTATTTCTGATTTATATTTAAAAGCAAATAATAATGATATGGTAGGAGATACACACCAAACAGGATGTGTTAATTATTATATAATAAGTATTGTGCAATAGCAAGAAATTTTCAATTGCACAGTATTGCACAATAGCAAGAAATCTTCAATTGCACAGTATTGCGCAATAGCAAGAAATCTTCAATTGCACAGTATTGCGCAATAGCAAGAAATCTTCAATTGCACAGTATTGCGCAATAGCAAGAAATATCCAATAGCACAATATTGCGCAATAGCAAGAAATTGTCAATTGTGCAGTATTGCACAATGGCAAGAAATATTCAATTGCACAGTATTGTGCAAAAGAAGATACTTCGTATAAATTGCTTATTTCTTGACCAATTTCAATGGGGTTTTATTCTTGAATTCTTGGGGTTCTTTAATATGCTGAATCTAACCGTGTATTAAGTTTTTGGATTTTGGGCCCGGTTTTTAAATTGGTCCACATTGAGGTCCAAAGGGTCCAAAATTAAACTTTGTTTGATTTCATCAAAAATTGAATTATTGAGGTTCTTCGATATGCCGAATCTAACCGTGGTTCCGTTTTCAAATTGGTCTACATTAAGGTCCAAAGGGTCCAAAATTAAACTAAGTTTGATTTTAACAAAAATTGAATTCTTAGGGTTCTTTGATATGCTGAATCTAAACATGTATTTAGATTTTTGATTATGGGCCCAGTTTTCAAGTTGGTCCAAATCGGGGTCCAAAATTAAACTTTGTTTGATTTCAACAAAAATTGAATATATGGGGTTCTTTGATATGCTGAATCTAACCATGTATTTAGATTTTTGATTTTTGGGCCCTGTTATCAACTTTGTCCACATTGAGGTCAAAAGGGTCCAAAATCAAACTTTGTTTGATTTCATCAAAAATTGAATTCTTGGGGTTCTTTGATATGCTGAATCTAACCATGTATTTAGATTTTGGATATTGGACCATAATAGGTGAATGTCCAATTTAAAATTTTTAAGTTCTTAGACCACATTCATTCTGTGTCAGAAACCTATGCTGTGTCAAATATTTAATCACAATCCTAATTCAGAGCTGTATCAAGCTTGAATGTTGTGTCCATACTTGCCCCAACTGTTCAGGGTTCGACCTCTGCGGTCGTATCAAGCTGCGCCCTGCGGAGCATTTTATTTTGGTTATTATCATGAATATTATAATAGATAGAGATAAACTGTAAACAGCAAAATTGTTCAGCAAAGTAAGCTCTACAAATAAGTCAAATGATCAAAATTGTCAATTGACCCCTTCAGGAGTAATTGCCCTTTAAAGTAAATTTTTCACAATTTTTGTAAATTTTTGTAATCTTTTACAAAAAACTTCTCCACTTAATCTACTTGGCAAAATAGAATTAAACTAAGCCACAATTTTTAATAGGTTATCTTGATTGAAAATTGTATCCAATGACCCTGTCATCCAACCAACATGGCCGCCATGGCTAATAATAGAACATAGGGGTTTACTATAGAAGTCTATGGGAAAGTTGTAAAAAAACAATTTCATTTTCAAATGGTCAAAACTTGAAAACTAATTTAAATAATGACAAGGGGTCTTCAGTAACTATTGTAAGACTACAATGTGATGACCTGCTTTAAATTAAACTACTGGGCCGAATTAAACCATACTTGGCCTCAATCATTTTTAGCTCACCAGGCCCGAAGGGCCCCATGTGAGCTTATGCCATCACTTTGCGTCAGTCATCTGTCGCTGTCGTCGTCGTCTGTCTTCGTAAACTATTTCAAAAATCTTCTCCTCTGAAACTACTGGGCCAAATTCCTTCAAATTTTAAAGGAATGTTCCTTTGGGTATCTAGTTAATAAATTGTATCCGAAATTTTGATCCATCAACAAACATGGCCGCCATGACTAAAAATAGAACATAGGGGTCAAATGCTTTTTTTTGCTTATATATCAAAAAGTAAAGCATTTAGAGCAAATCTGACAGGGGGTAAAAATGTTAAACAGGTCAGGATCTACCAGCCCTGAAATTTTCAAATAAAATCAAACAAACCATTGTTGGGTTGCTGCCACTAATTTGGTAATTTTCGTCGTCTCTTGTCGTAAACTATTTCAAAAATCTTCTTCTCTGAAACTACTGGGCCAAATACATTCAAACTTTAAATAAATGTTCCTTAGGGTATCTAGGTTAAAATTGTATCCGGAGTTTTGATCCATCAACAAACATGGCTGCCATGGCTAAAAATAAAACAAAGGGGTCAAATGCAGTTTTTGGCTTACATCTCAAAAACTAAAGCAGTTAGAGCAAACGTGAAAGAGAGTTAGAGTGATGATTAGGTAAATATTTATCTATTATGAAATTTTCATGCCAATTGGAGAATTTATTGTTGGGTTACTGTTAGAAGTAGTTATTTATTAGGAAATTTTAGATTTTGATTATTTTCTTGAAAATTATAGTAGATAAGAAGAAAGTGTGAATGAGAAAAATAGTATTGATCTATCTGCATGAACATGTTCAGAACAAATTGCCAATCTGTTGTTGGGTTACTGTAGGAAATTTTTTTTTTGGGAGAAATTATAGTTTTGGTTATTTCCCTTGAAAGATTTATTTTTCACAATTTTCTCCTTGAATCATTACTTTTTCTCTGAAACTACAAGACTTAATTCAACTCCTTTTCACCAGGTTTACTTATAGATAATAGATCAACTTAGAATTTTGTTCCAATACAATGATTTTTAACCAATAGGGGATTATGTATTGCCATGCAATACTCACAGAATTCTTGTTATATTTCATCTTTTAAGTACTAAGAACATACTGGTAACTTAGATATTTATTTTGAGGCATAGTTTCAAAAGCCTGGATCTGCACATGAGGCAGTCAATAGTAACTGCTTAAAATTCCAAACTGGTAAACTAGGTAGTTCTTCCAAACTGTCTACTTTAAAATCTTGATGGTTTGACAGTTTTTGCACAGTGCTTATTTGTGAATCTGGCTGGAACTGCCTATATTTGTCTGAACTGCTTAATAGCTGCATAAGAAGTGTCTAATAAGGCAGCAAATCAGTTAGCCTTGGAGTACGATAACATACA